CAGATATTCATTTTCTTCTGGGTTCGATAATATGACTTCTTAATGTATAAGAGACAGAGTCAAGTACTTTGCAAGTTTGCATTACACATGATACTAATTTGGTTCACAGAATTTCTGAAATTGAGAATGATATTGTCAATCACTTGTTTGGATTCTTTTGTCGAACCATAAGTAGCAAACTCTCCTTACTTCTAAGCATATTACAGAGAGTGCTAGTAAATTATAGTGATTGGTAAATTGGGCTGCTAGAAATTCGTACATACCTGTTCAAACAGATAATTCCCCATCAATTTATTCACTTAAACTTGCATGCAAATCACATGATTTACTTGGATTGTTGCATAACAGTTAACTTCTTAGTATAGGCCTGTTGCTTTCTGCTTTTAAGTTAAAATGCTTTTAATATGCTTCCCTATGGTTTTGTCTTCAAATTATTATTTACATACAATATATGTTAGCATTAAGGTATGGTTTCGTCCAGAAAATAATTTCTTCATTTAATAAAATAAATAAATTTGAGTATTATTAACTTTCTGCCATATTTTTATATCTTGTTCTGTATTTGAGCCCTAGATATGCTGGTTAAGAGTTAAGACTGTATATTTAAACAAGTTATGAATTCTATTTCTTAGTTACTACATACTTTACATGGTTGAACTTTTAAGACAATTAGTCCAACAACGTATCAAATTAGGTTGCAGAAAGGCAGGGGAAATATCTGTCTAACCTGTTGAACCAAATTGGTAAAGCTGGTGGAGGATATAGAAATGCCGCAGAAAATCTAGAACTTGGTGATCCTTTTGTATATAGGCATCTAGGAAGCATGGCAACAGTTGGAAGATACAAAGCTCTTGTAGATCTCAGGCAAAACAAGGTAGCTTCCCACTTTATCTTTCTGATTGCTGTTATCTTAGTGTTGTGCTTAAACTAAACTAATTGTAAAAACATTCTCAGGAGGATAAGGGGCTTTCTCTTACGGGTTTCATTAGCTGGTTCATCTGGCGATCAGCATATTTAACACGTGTGATAAGTTGGAGGAACAGATTCTATGTTGCAATTAACTGGCTCACTACATTTGTATTTGGTCGTGATATAAGCCGCATCTAAAATGAGAAATCCAGGTACCAAGAACCTCTTCGATGGCTTCTCTTTACCATCTGTTATACTCAAGACTTCTGTCTGACCTACCTCTCTGCATCATTTGATCAGATTGATGTCACTAATATTATCAGTATCACAAATATGTTACTATTCTATTTAGAATTTTGAGAGAACAATCCCACGTAATCGGTCTTAGTGTTTGTTCACCTTTTGATTCAAAGTATGTATGCACATGGTATTAAAATAATATTTTTCCAATTGCATTTGACCAATAATGTAAACACATGTTCATCGTAGCTTCATAGCAGACTTATATCATAAACCTTTATCTACTGGTACGACACTCTGAGATCTCAACTACTATCTCATTAGACATAATTCATGATCCAAATGCTTCAATTTTTTGTTACTTGCATGAATTACCAAATGCCACGTTCCATTGAATCACTTCTCTTCAAACCGACAAAGAAGAGACTTCCTGATTCTAATGGTTAAAACTGTGGTTCTGCTGTTTCCACTCTTTACTAATCACTGCCATTTTGATCAAGTGTAAATTAGTTTTTGGAGTTGGCAACTTGGCATGACAGCATGTTGCATTCATTATATGCATTCATGAGAACTTCTTATATTTATCCAGCAGCCTTGGTTGATGCATTTATTGAAATGAATAATGATTTCCATTTCTGGTTCCTTTTGCAGGCCACTTGCATCTTTTTTGAGAAATCATGTCAGATCAGTTACGAGGAAATGCAAGGTGTAATTCATACATTTAATGTGGTGCCATGAATCAATATTGTGTGCTCTGAAGCCATGAGGGTGATTAAAGCTGGCAAATTATTGCTTCATTTGTGAGTGTTCTACTCGTATAGGCTCATATAATGGATATCTAACCATATACTATTTTGATTACATGTCTTCTTGTCAAGGCAAAGAAGATGGATTGTGCTCTATAATTTTGAAGCATCATCATTTGTGTTCAGAACTTATGATTGTGAAGCCTTGATGTTGACTTTAATACAATATACACATAATCGATGTCTTATCAAATGATTTATCCTTATAATTGTACTCCATGTTCTCATAATGAATTCATGAGACAACGAAGATGAATTGCTCTCTGGGAAGCATATTTCATGTCAAAAACAAAGATATTGTTGGCTAACTTATTAGAGAGTTTGGCATTCTCACAATCATGATTTTTTTTTTTTTCATATCCCTAAATTTGTGCAAGATTTATAAGATAGATGAAGTTGTTAATTCCATCAATTTTGACTTCCTGTTTTTTTTTAGATTAAATTAAATTATACAAATTTAGGAAACTTATCTCCACCAAATAAAAAAAAAAGTAATTCCTCAAAATCAGAAAAATAACTTTAAAAAATAATCTCCGAAATTCAGAAATATAAGTAAAATTAGTCGACAGCATCTAATTATTTTGGATTGAGAAACAACCGATTCTGTACATATAAATTTAATTACCGGTTACAATCGAAGACTGTCAATATGTGTTTGAGCTCGTAATCGAGAGAGATCACATCATCGTGGCCGTTCATACCGGTCATCAATTCACAGTCACCGGTGAATCCTTTTGGTCGCTCACCAAAGTGCAGATCGCCGCCTAGCGGTGCGCTCCTCCTCTCTTCTTCTATTCCCTTGCTTTCCGGAAGTCTGCGATCCTTCTTTTCCCCTCGTCGTTGAAAGGTCCGGACTTTGGTTTTGTTTCAGAAGTTACGATCGTTCTTTTTTCATCGAAAAGTTAGAATCTTGATTCTTTGTCGATGGGTAAGTCTTGTAGGTTTAATGAGTGCGTTGGATTTTGCTTCGCAAGTCATCGATCCTTCATTTTCCCCTCGAAAAGTATAATATATTGATTCGAAAGGGCTGGACACGCATTGATTCTTGGGTGAATTTGACTTGTGGGTTTGATCAGAGTGATAGATTTTGTTCCGGAAGTTACTGATCCTTTCGTTTTCCTCAGAAGGTAGAATCTTGATTCCTTGTAGGTTATCAATTCTTCTTTGTTTTTTTTGTGTTTGATTGACGGGTGTGTTAGATTTTGCTTCGCAAGTCATCGATCCTTCTTCTTCTTCCCTTGGGGGTAGAATCTTGATTCTTTGTGGAACAGTCTGGAGCAGGGTTTATTCTTCGATGGATAAATCATGTAGGTTTGATGAGCATTCTGGATTTTGTTTGGGAAGTCATCGATCATTTTTTAGTCCCTCGGAAGGTCGAATCTCGATCATTTTTCTAGATGATCGAGCATTAAGCTGCTGGACAAATGTACTTTTTTTGTTTACCAAGTCTTTTCTTTTTGCATGAAACTTTCTTTGAAAAATGTACAATCTACTTCATTTTCAACTCTCTGATATAATTTATATCGCCAAAACATTTCTTCAATGCCATCAGAAGAATTGTGCTTTTTTAAACTATTAAGTATTGGTGTTTATATGTGTTAGATTACGTGGTCCTATCTAATTAGATAAGATATATTATACATATAATTGAATTCTAATTAGGTCAATAGAAAAAAATCTAAGATAAAATTTCTTAGGAGATGATCTTGATAGGAGCGACTCTCTTAATTACTTATCCTAGACCATCTACTCTCGTCTATAAGAAAAAATAACCTCCTAAAAACTAATAGAGGGGGATACATAGATAAGATGAGACGAAGATATATGATATTATTGAGATATTATATATTTTCTATCATTTTCCCTTAGTCACATGAACTAGTATTACAAATCTTCTTTCATATCTTAATTGTCCTTAATCAATCATACATAGTGGTAGTACGAAGGATACAAAGAGGAAAGAATATGAACCTACTTCTTCTTGCATATCAACGTCGCTATAGCTTTCAGAATCGATGATGATGTGCTTGTAGATTATATAAAAGCTTTCTAAATACCATAAAAAAGGTACACATAATAAATTTAGATATATTATTATTTGATTTCATATTTTGACATTAACATTTTTTACATAATTAAAGCATTGCGTGGTTTTTATACTTACAATAGTCGTGTTTGAAATTAAATACTTTAGATCTATTTGTTAACATATTTCACTCGGAAAGAGATGTTATTCATTTTTTATTTATGATGCACGAATAATTCATCTGTATCATCGATTTACTTTTCTATCCAATTCATCACAACGTCTGCTTGCAAGCGATGTGAGATTTCTCGTGTTTGATCGATAGATCACTATCGATAGTTTGTTGTCGACAACAATATTGCTAACGGCGATAACCTTCGATAGCTGTTAGCTCAATCGCGAGCAACAATCGTGCACCGCGACAATCGTGGAGGTCGACGATCAACAATAGTGATGTTCCACCCACGAGGAACGCGACACGACGATCGGTGAGGTCGTTAGTTGACCATGTGAGGACAACTGCCTTATCGCAAGTGATGGTTGTGCTCGTGCCATTACTAACGGTGTTGTCGTTTGCCACCACCGAAAACGTAATTGGGATATTGAACTTATTTGTTTGTCCATTATTTTCGTATTTTCATTCATAAATCGATTAAGATAAATAGAACTAGATGTTTCACTTTCATAATTATAAAGATTATAATATAAATTTTTTAAGTTTAAGATCGAAATACTAAACAAGTCTAATTACGTAATTTAGCCCAAATAAACTCAAAAACGTTACTCGAAATGCGTTACAACCGGCAAAGGTCATGCTTGTTACAGACTCGAGCTTTAGCCAAACACCAATTTAACTCCAAACACCTTGTACGAACATTTGATGATTTAAGATCATTTTATCTTAAAAAAAAAACACCTAACTCAAAGACAACACTTAATTTTATTTGCTGTGAGGAAGACTGGTGGAGTCTTTAAGTGACTAGGAAGACGACGGACTGGCCATCGCAATCCTCCCCCTTCTAAGCATCGGAGATAGCGGAGCACGAGCGGCTCGCCATGTCGACCTTGATCGCGCCCTCCTGGGCGTTCACTGTTCGCAGGTAGCAAGAGTTCTCGTCGGTGTACTTGTAGTACGACCTGGTGCTCGCAATTCCCCATTGCGCCTCCTCCTCGTGCACCATGGCCGACCCCTCCGCCTCCTGCCGATCCGACAGCGTGCTCATGCTCACCTCCGAGAGCTCTTTCACGTACGCCGTTTCCTGCAGCTGGTGCGACAACCGGGTGTTCTCGAACGTCGGCCCGCCCGCCACCCTCACCACCGACGTCTGCACCTGCAGCGGCGCTTCCATCAGCAGCTGCACCTTTCCCACCGTCCGCTGCCCGCTCTTCGTCGTCACCGTCGTCTTCTCCCTGTTTACCACGTCCGCCTGCCGCACCGCCCCGCGGTTGTGCACCGAGACCTGGCTCTTGAACCGCAACTTCTGCCTCACGGTGGTGGTCATGTTGCCCTTGGAGGTGCTCACCCATCCCACGAACCGGAGCTGCCCCTCGGCGTCCACCTCCGAGTGCCCGTCCTGATTGTGCCACTGGGCGTTGCGGTTCACCTTCAGGGTCGGCGTGGTGTACTCCACTATCCCGGCCTGCACGGCGTCGGACCACCGGTCCACCCAGAGGTGGAGGTTCGCCGACAGCAGCCAGTACTTCTGCGCGTCCTTCACCCCGATCGCGAGCTCGTGCGGCCGCCCGTCGAGCAGCAGCTCGAGGAATGGAGTCAGGTCGATGTCGTGGGAGGGGATGTCGAAGGTGCCGATGGCTGTCACCGGTGACCAAAAGTAAGGGTTGATCGAGCTGGAGTAAATGACAGCGTACGGTACATGTCCCCCCACGAACCGGCCGTCGACCGTCGCGTACAGCTGCCGGAAGCCGCCGTTGGCCGTGGAGGCGGCCACGTCCCCGGCATTGTACGTGAAGCGGAGGGGATTCATGTACCAGGACTCGTCGTCGGCGTGGTAGGACACGAAGATCTCCAGCACAGCCCTGTATGTGTTCCTGGGGACGGTGACTGGCGCGGCCACCGCCTGCGGGTTACCGCTGATCTGGAACCAGAAGCCGCTGCCGTAAGACCCACGCTCTCGCGAGATGGGGATGACAAGGTCGGCCGGCTCACGGTAGAGCCCCCAGACGCTGGGATGACCGGTGTGCTTCGAGCTCGCGGAGAGCTCTCCGCGGTAGAAGTGGAAGGAGACGTTGGCGGCGAGCACAGCGGCGAGATCGACGGCGGAATTGTCGACGATCATGGAGACGGTGCCGCCGCCGGCGAGCCGGTTGAGGATGGCGGCATAGCGGGTGACGTCCTTCTGCACCCTCCAGAACGCGTCGGCGGCGGTGAGGAGGGGCGGGGTGCTGGTGCGGAGGATCTCCACGCCGTCGAGCCAGACGGCTGCCACGCGGTGCTTCCGGGCGGGGCCGGAGGCCGCCATGGCCACCTCGAGCACGACGCGGGTCCAGGGGGCGGAGCAGTCCGGGGGCTGCGTGTAGTTGATGGACACCATGGGAAGGGAGGCGACGCCGACGGCGAAGGCGTGGTCGAGGACGGCCACGGTGCATTTGGGAGTCTGGGCGGGAAGCTCCGACGGAAGAGTCGGGTCGAGGAGCTCGAGGCCGGCGCTGCTCGCAGGAGCATCGGGCACCACAGAAGGAAGCACAAGGGTGAAGACTTGGAGGAAGAGGAGGAGCGGTTGGAGATGCATGTCTTCCTTGATTGTGCCGTGTCTTATGGTGGAGTGGAATCGGTGTTGACTGTGAGTAAACAGGTATCAATGGAGACGTGTATACATATTTATAAGTAGAGAGAGAGAGAGAGAGAGAGAGAGAGAGAGAGAGAGTAGTAGTAGGAA